GAATAATCGATAGCCTCGCGTAGCAGGGTATCAATCAGTTGTCGTAGATAAGGGAATCGAAAATGGAGAAAATTGGGAGAGTATTTGACTATTTGAGCGGTTGGCCGACGTCTGTGGAGAGAATTGAGGAGTATTAATGGGCCCTGCTTGGTTAGATGGGTTTTTACTGAAAAGAAATTAGGGAATCGATAATAGAGAGACAGATAGATTAGTGGGATTTTAGAGTGAATCGGAGGATAGGATGTAAAGATGTGAAGATAAACTCTTTCTTTTTTAAATTCTTTTAATTCCACTTTGTCACGGAAAAAAAAAAAACAGAAATAGTAAAAGAATCACAAAAAAATGTTTTTGTAAAACATGCTATATCTTAAATGTGTAGGTTGAGTTATAAATTTATGAAAATATTTTTAATAAAAAAATATAATAAATAAATTTATTTAAAATATTTTAATAAATTTATAGGATAAATTTGACTTTCAATCCCACAGAGAATAAAGAAAGTAACAAAAAATGAGAACCAAAACTTAGAAAAAGAGAACTACATTCGGTGGAAATTTATTAAAAATATTTTAATAAATTTATAGGATAAATTTCACTTTCAATCCCATAAAAAATAAAAAGAAAGTGACAAAAAGTGAAAACCAAAACTTAAAAAAAGAGAAGAATAAAGAAAGTGACAAAAAGTGGGAACCAAAACTTAGAAAAAAAGAACTATATTCAGTGGAAATTCATTAAAAATATTTTAATAAATTTATAGGATAAATTTCACTCTCATTCTCACAAAGAATAAAAAAAAAAAGTAAGAAGAATAAAGAAAGTGACAAAAAGTGGGAACCAAAACTTAAAAAAAGAGAACTACATTTTGTGGAAAACTATCTGTTCCAAAAAATATTTTGTGGACTGGTGTCGATTCCCACTCTATTGTACAGGTAATTTTTAATTTTTTATTGAACTTTTGATGTAATGCATGAGTGAGTACCCCTTGTACTCTCTTTATTAATAACACTTTTGATTCATTAAAAAAAATGTGATAATAAAATTTACATTTTGTATGCTATAATTCTTCTAGTGTTTTAACATGATAATCCAACCATGTATGGTTCTTGATTTATTTCTAAAAGTTATAATTAATTTTAGTTTTGCACTCTAATTTTTTATTAAAAAAATATATCTTATCCATTTAATCATAGTATTGTCAAATAATTATCTATGAGTGTGGAGGACATTACCATAAAACTAGAATGTGAAAAAGATTACAAGAGCTTTTTTCTTACACTTTATAGGCTGTCAATTTGGAATTGGGAGTAGTTAGTATTGTTAACTTCACATCTTTTTCTTGATTTGATTGTTTTAAGAATAATTATTATAAAAAAATGATTGAGAGGTAATATTTTTTGTTTTATATTTTTGTATAATTTTATATATTATTTAAATAATTAATTATTTTTATTTATTTAAAATTTATAATATTAAATGTATTTATTTATAAACATTTAAAAATCCTATAAAAAAGTAATATAAAAAAATTATCTCTATATTACTATCATTAAAATTAACTTTAAGTTACAATGTTTTTTTAAAAAATTAAATATGTAATTATTTTATTTATATCTAAAATAAAATACTCATTGTCGTAGATAAGGGAATTGAAAATGGAGAAAATTGGGAGAGGATTTGACTATTTGAGCGGTTGGCCGACATCTGTGGAGAGAATTGAGGAGTATTAATGGGCCCTCCTTGGTTAGATGGGTTTTTACTAGAAAGAAATTAAGGAATCGATAATAGAGAGATAGATCGGTAGATTAGTAGGATTTTAGAGTGGATCAGACAATAGGATGTAAAGATGTAAAGGTAAACTCTTTCATTTTTAATTTCTTTAATTTCATTTTGTCAGGAAAAAAAAAACACAAAAATAGTAAAAGAATCAAAAAAATGTGTTTTGTAAGACATGCTATACCTTAAATGTGTAGATTGAGTTATAAATTTATTAAAATATTTTTAATAAAATAAATAAATAAATTTATTTAAAATATTTTAATAAATTTATAAGATAAATTTCACTTTCAATCCCACAAAGAATAATAAGAAAATGACAAAAAGTGAAAACCAAAACTTAAAAGAAAGAGAACTACATTCGGTAAAAAAACTATTTGTTCCACAAAGTAGCAAAGTCAATGTTGGACTTTTTATAAAGTGGGCCAAAATAACTCTAGTCAAGAGTCTTTCAATTCTCCCCATACATCACTCCCCGCAATTGTATGCAAGTTTCCTTGTTTACATTTGTTTGGCCATATCTGTCAAGTAAATGTGAAAATTAACATGTAATAAATATGATGCATGTACATGTTAATATGTAATATAATAGTGAAGGAATTTTAAAGTAAGAACTAATTTTTAGATAATTTAAATTCAAAAATGAGATATAAAAATTTCAAATTAAAAATGTAATATAGAAAGATCCATATTTTAATAGATAGATAAGAATTTCTTCTTTAAATTCTTTACAATTACTTATGGTTTCTCAATTACATTTTTATGAAGAAAATTCTTGCAACCGTGGTCTAGGGTTGATTGGTAAGCTCATCACAATCAATTCAATTGCTTCCTCACTAATATCTCGCAAATTAGTTTCGCTTTTAGCTTTACTTGTTGTGGTATAAAATTAATAAACCACATTCATTTGAAAGATCAACTTGCAAAGTTTAATTTTATTATTTAATCTTCTTTATTTAGATTATAAATGAATAGATCATAAACTTTTTATTAATCTATTCTCTTTACCATCACTATTTTAATTCTAATAACAATATATATGAAAATTGACCTACAATAAATATGGTGCATATGTGTGTCAATATTTAATATAAGTAGAAGAAATTTTAAAGTATGAGCCAATTTTTGGACAAAATAGCAAACCATTGATGAGTTAATTTCACTTTAAAAAGAGTATTAATCAACTCAAGTAATATAATAATGAAAATAGAGTATCGTTTCAAGACTAATTAAGTATTAAAATTAATTAATTCTAATTTTATTTGAACAATTGTAATTAAATTATTGGAATAAACTAATTAACTAAACTAATTAGAGAGAAAAACTAAATTGAATTTAAGTAAAACTAAGAGTTAAAATTTCACCATAATCAATCAATATAAAATTTAAATTAATATACTTTTAAGGTATTTATTACTCATATGAAAATGAGATTTCCTATTCTATTCAATACACTTTCTCAAGTTATATTAAATTTATCTTCACCTATTAACTCACTATATTTTTATGTGAATTTAAATAGATAAAGATGCATTATATTCTATGAAATTCCTTAATTTATATAGAAAATTAAGTTTAGTTATTACTAATGTTTGCACGAATCATGTTAGTTCATCTCTAACTTTTGTTCAATTCATGATATACATCACTAGAAGCTATTGTATAAAATCTCCTCTCAATCTCAATTATACTTTGTTAATCAATTTTAATAGTAATCAATCATTAAAAAGTATTAGGAATAATAATATATATTTTACATAAAATAATAAACTTTAAAAGCCTAAAAGCCATGAAATTTTATACCAAATTAATCAGATTACATCATTGTCTTAGATGGTTAAATTAGTTCATAATTAAAAAAAAAATCAAATATCTCATAATAACTATAAAAATATCCAATATCATAAAATAAAATTTAAGAATAAATAAAACCAATTTAATAATATAAGATTTCAAGTCTTGATTTTCTTTTACTGTTGAATTCCTTTTAATCATCTCACTCTTGGTCTTCTACCAAAAGCCCCAAATCTTATTTTTGAATGAGTGTTTATAGAGTTTAAGAAACCTTTTTAAAAAGTAGGACTTGAGACGAAACCATTTTAGAAAAGAACTAGGACTTGAGACAACAGAGAAAACTTCAATACTGGGCGCCAAATGCATGGTGCTGACACCACAAATTATGTGTCGACACCAGACCCGTGCCGGGTTTCTTTTTGCAATTTCTTCAATGGTAAATGGCAAATCTGGTCCTCTAGATTTTATACAATGCACTTTGCTCCCGTAACTTAAGATTCATTCATTTAGGTCCCAAAAAGACAGCTTTCTCCTTGCAATTCAGTCCCTTAACTTTCAAAAAATATTCAATTAATCTCAAAAACTCTTATAATTATGAATTTAAGTTCATTTTTTGCACAAAAAATAAAAATTATGTAAAATCTATTGAAAATCGCATATAATCCTTACAAATAGTAATAAAATCAAAACTAATATAATAGATTTAAGCATATAAAATGCTTCTCATCAACCACAAATGAGATAGTAGTAGAAATTTGATTTTATGTAAAGCCTATATAGCAAATTATTGATAAATTGTAATATTTATATTATTAATATATTCTTGGTGAGCCTTCATCAGAGAAAGTATATTAAAAAGGATAATAAATTTGGCTGTTACATAAATAGTAAATATATTAAAAGTATAATAATTTAAGATTTATATTGATTGCTTATAGTGAAGTCAAATGCTTTAATATATCATATCTTGGTAAATTTTATTTTAACATGTTATTTTTTTAAATTAGTTTTAATTAAAATTTTCTCTCCTTTTTTTGTTTAAATAATTTTAGAATTAATTATTTTTTGTAGTTAATTAATTATAATTTTTGTAGATTCAACACTCTTCCTATTAATTTATTACTTTATTACTTAAGCAACCAATACACTTGTTAGTAAATTTCAACGCATCAATTTTTCTTAAGATAATATATCATGAATCTCATCTATTCATTTCTTGCAAAATTCTAGTGAAATTGAAAACTAATATAAAGGCATTGATGCATACATCGCTTTTTTTAATCACAATAGTAGTTCATATGCAAACATCATCTATCACAAGTGTGATGTAATTAATATAAATTAAAACCTCAAAAGGAAAAAAAAGGGGCCGTTTTACAACTTAAACACCAAGGCATTGGTGAAGACTTGAATCATAATACCATAACTAAGACTCAATCAAGTCTTTTGTTAACGACAAAACTTGTCTTGTCAGATAGATCAAATCGAAACAATGAATGTAGAAAAATTAAAGGAGATCATTTTATCATGAGTTACATTTGCAAAGAGTAAAAGACTCATGTGTTAGAACTTTAATTTGGTTCTCTACTTTGACAAAAAGTTTTTTTTTAATCTTTACTGAAAAGATTTTTTTTTGTTCTTAAAATTTGAAATTTGCCTCCTTTTTAATTCTTTTATTAAGTTTTGACATTCATAACAGAAATTTCAAAGGAGATGGACAAAAAAAGGCTTTTTTTTAAAAAAAAAAGTAGATGGACAAAATTGAGACTATTTTTTACCCCTTTTTTTATCCATCTACTTTGAAATTTTTGTCATCTAACGTACTAAATATGTAAAACCTAATTGAGGGATTAAAAGAGGTCGCAATTTCAAACTTTAGAGATCAAAAAAGAGTTTTTTTAAGTAGAAGGATTAAAATTTTTTTTAACCAAAATAAAGGGACCAAAATAGGGATATAACATTTTTTTTTTTTTTTGGATGGTCATAAACTTTCTTCTCTAAGTAAAACTACGGATTTTAAAGATGATGAACATATGTTTTCACTTAATTGATTATAAATTTGGTAGAAAACAAGTTAGTTTCTATTCATGATTCATAATTAGGTTCAAATTAAAATAATAATGATAACATAGGTGTAAATCTAATTTATCAAAGACTTTATTTATAACATTCTCCTCCTTTGATACATAAAATATATCTTTATCATTTTTGACAAATCATTCAAATTCCTTCTAAGAGATAAATATGTAAAAAATAATAGGTATAAGAAGTCTAGAATGAGAATAGTAAAAAATTATTACGGTACATGCTTTGCCCATAGCCTCACACCATTTAAAGCAAATAATTGTAAATTATATTAAATAATCTTTTAATATTAATATTTATCTATTAATATTTGTTATATATATGTATATATATTAAGAAATGTAAATAAATAATCCTTTTAAATTATTAATTCTAATTTTTAAATTTAAAAAAATACCTTTTTTATATTATGTTGTGACAAACAAAAACATATTACTGAGATTCAAATTATTAGTTGAAATTATGTTAATAATGTAATTGTAATCTCTCCATCTAATTTCAAATTAGCAAATAAAAGTGAAGTCAAAAAGTAGATTTGAAAATAATATCCACCATTGATCAATATTACATTCTATATTCATTTGTTTTTATTTTGATAGAATATATTAAATTATTAGTATATCTCAATTTGGAACACTCTATATATACTCTTCTACGGTACTCCATTCCACCGAACAAAGATATATGGGGTTCTTCACAATGCTCTCTTTACCACTCCGCCTCCTTTTCTTCTTCCTGTGTCTTAAAACTGCGTTCTCATCCTCTTTACATGCTTCTTCCTTCTCAACAACACAGCTCTGCCCTCATGAGGAGGCTTTTGCTTTGCTGCAATTCAAGACTTCCCTTTCCTTCGATAATTCTAAGACTGAGTCTTGGAAGGAAGGTATAGACTGCTGTTCCTGGGATGGGGTTAGCTGTGATAATGTCACAGGTCATGTAATCTCTCTTGATCTCAGCGGCAGTTTCCTTTCTGGCACCTTTCCTTCCAACAGCACTCTTTTTCTCCTCAAAAACCTGCAGAGCCTCAATCTTTCCTTCAGTGATTTTAGGCATTCCAAGGTTCCACCAGAAATCAGTCAGTTTACCAAACTAAAGCATCTTGATATCTCTTGTTCTCAGTTTTCGGGCCAAGTTCCAGCAGAAATTGCTCACCTACCCAAGTTAGTTTCTCTCAATCTCTCTAATTGCGGTTATTTGGCGGTTGCTGACTTGATCCTTGAAACAACTACCTTGAGAAATCTTGTTCAGAACTTAAGTGAGGTGAGAGAACTTGTGCTTTATAAAGTGAACATGACATCTGTTAATCCTCGTTTCTTCATGAATCTTTCTTCTTCTTTGACTACTCTTAATCTTTGTAGGAGTGGGTTAAGAGGAAACTTTCCAAACAATATTTTCCACTTTCCAAATCTCAAGTTTTTTTGTTTAGGTGGATCTTCTATAGAGCAAAACCTCACTATTGATCTTCCAAGTTCCAATTGGAGCAGTTCTCTCCAACATTTGTATTTAGGTCTTATGGATTGCCGAGGGCGATTGCCAGAGTCTATAGGAGATCTAAAGTCATTACAGTATCTACGTCTTGACGGTCACTTGGAAGGTTCCATTCCAACATCAATTACAAAGCTCACACAACTTCGCTCACTCCAACTTTCAAGTAATCACTTTTCTGGTCCCATTCCAGTTTCCATAGGGAACTTATCCCAACTTACTCTTCTAGGCCTCAGACTTAACATTCTTAGCGGACAAATCCCATCATCACTTGCAAACCTCACACAACTTAGCGTACTTGACCTTTCAGGGAATCACTTTTCTGGTCCCATTCCTTTTCATGCAACTAGGTTTTCCAAACTAAGCACTCTAGACTTATCTTATAACTTACTTAATGGCACGTTGCCACCTTGGATTTTCACCCTACCTTTGTTAGAGTACTTGTATCTCAATCATAACCAATTTCAAGGTCAAATAAATCAATTCCAGCAGAAATCACTCATACAACTATTTTTGTCAAACAATAAACTCCAGGGCTCAATTCCTAACTCAATGGCTAATTTAGTAAATCTTTATTCTCTTGATTTATCATCAAATCATTTCATCACTCTTTCATACAATAATCTGTCCTTGAGAATGAATGCCCATGCCAACTTCACATTACCCAAACTAACTAATGTTTTATTGTCTTCTTGTAACTTGAGTGAATTCCCCAATTTCTTAAGACATTCAGATGGTCTGCGAAGCCTAGTGCTATCCAAAAGTAGCATTCCTGGAAATATTCCTGAATGGATATGTGAAATGGATGATCTCGAAATTCTTGACCTTTCTCATAACAATTTAAGCGGGAAGATTCCAAATTGTCTTCCTATGTCTCTCTCAGTGTTGAATTTGCAGGCCAATTACTTTGATGGAATTATATCATTTGGGTTTCCAAAGGGTTGTGGATTGCGAAATCTCAACTTACATGGAAATCAAATGGATGGGCCATTACCAAGGTCTTTGGTGAATTGTGACGAGTTAGAGGTTCTAGACGTTGGCAACAACAACATAGAGGATACATTCCCTCATTGGTTGGAATCTCTACCAGACCTTCAAGTGCTTGTCTTAAGGTCCAACAAGTTCCACAGTTCTGTGCAGGGCACCAAAGAAAGTCTGTCTTTTCCCAAGTTACGAGTTCTAGACCTCTCCAACAATGATTTTCTTGGACCTTTGCCTATTCGGTACATGGAAAATTTTAAAGCGATGATGGACTCTCATGGAGAGGATGGTTCCCCTGAATACATGATGGTGCCGACGTTAACCGGTTCTTATCAATATTCACTGGTTGTGACATGGAAGGGATTCGACTATGAGCTGCAGGGAATCTTGACCATATTCAGTAGTATTCATCTCTCAAATAACAAGTTTGAGGGAGAAATTCCCGATGTTATTGGAAAGCTTAGTTCTCTCAAAGGGCTTAATCTTTCTCATAACAACTTTACTGGTCATATCCCACCGTCACTAGGGAATCTGATGAATCTGGAATGGTTGGATCTCTCTTCCAACAAGCTGACGGGGAAAATTCCTGATGAATTGGTATCTTTGATACAACTCTCTGTATTGAATCTTTCAAATAATCTACTTGTCGGGCACATACCACAAGGCAATCAGTTCAACACTTTTGGAAATGATTCTTATGAAGGAAACCTTGGACTGTGTGGATTTCCATTATCAAAATCTTGTAATGGAATTGGGACACCGCCAACCTCCTTCCAAGAAAAAGCTGAGTTCTGGAGATTTGGCTGGAGAGTTGTGGTGTTAGGCTACGGATGTGGAGTTGTTTTTGGACTGCTGATGGGATATCACGTCTTCCGAACAGGAAAACCAAAATGGTTTGTGTCTTTGTTTGATGGCCAACCAAGTCTAAGTAGAAGGAAGATGAGGAAAGCCAGAAGACTTGTTCAAAGAAGAAGCTAGTTGCAGAGTTGGTGTTTTAGACCTT